CTTTCTAACACTAGATTGTTTATCACATTGTACAAGAACTAACCTGAAGTCCTTCAATTATAACCTCAATGTTTTGGGTTTGAGCTGGGAAGACTGTTTGAAGCTGAACTCAGTCCAGTCAACAATAATGACAAAACCATTCACTTGAGTTTCTTCATCTTCAAGCTAGAATTAATAAGATCATTATTATTTACAGAAGTATTTTTCATGTGAAGCTAACCAAAATTTAAACAATAAAGAATAAACTAAATTAGATTATCATAAAAACTACTATGTAATTTTACCTATGTAAGTAAAATACTACTCCACAGTTATATTGCTTGGGTAGGTATAATTGATTACTATACTTACCCAAAAAAGTTCTATAACAGAGATTATAGGACTGTATGATTATTAGCTTATTGTTCCTACTTAATTAATACAATTTCACACGAGATGTTAGAGTAATGTATCCACAAAAGTGCAAAGGACATTCAGAAAGAAATAGGATTTTTTTGTATGTTGGATATAAGTAAACTGCATGTAGCCATCAATGATCATGTTAATAGGTCAATATTCATCTATTGCTAGAATTTCTTTTGGAACATGATAATACCAAGTCATATATATAGTTTGTCATGCAATTACTGTTACTGAGAAATCTAGGAGGAGAGTCCTTCTTCACCTTGTGTCATGATACAGAAACCCTGATTGCACTTTGACTTAGCACCCAGTGACTTCTATCTATATACTTCTCTCAAGGACAATTTGCATAAAATATATTTTTAGGGAAATGTATAAGGTGTTCATAAATTTTCTGACCCATTTTAAAATATAATAAGATCAAAAATATTATAGATAGAACACAATGGTTTTATTTAACTTGATGAACAACTCAAACATTTTCCCCTCCTTTTTGTTGTAGATCCATAGTAGGAGCATTAATTGCTAGAAAAAAATAAAATGTTAAAAAAAGAAATTGTGACAACCCAGGATAAAGCACAGCGAGTGGTTTGGTTTGCTGAATCCAAATCAATTGTGTCTATGCAACAAAATTACCAACACATTTATGAAAAAGACTCACCAACCAAGAATAGCACAAAAACTTGGTTTGAAAAATTTCTAGCAACTGGCAGTGTGTTATAAGAAAAGTGAGCTGGGCGTCCAAGTGTACCCGATGCAACAGTTGATCGTGTGCAAGATATGTTTCTTAGAAGCCCAAAGAAGTCTATTCATTGTGCTTCCCTTGAATTTAACTTGCCAAAAACCACAGTGAAGAAAATTTTACACAAACGACTTTGTTTGTATGCCTACAAAATGCAATTACTGCAAGCTCTTGAACCAGATGATGGACAAAGGTGCAAGCAACAAACAGTACACTAAGACAAGAAAAATTTTTATGTTCGTCAAGTTAAATAAAATCAGTGTTCTATCTATAATATTTTTGACATCATTAAATTTTAAAATGGATCAGATAATTTATGATAATCCTGTACAACCATCAGATGATTGTACCTGAAGCCTTCCAGCAAAGTAAAATGTTTAAAAAATTTAAGTAAATCATATTAAAGAAATTCAGATCTTTGTAAATATCTACAATGAAATAACAAAAACAAAACAATTTTGGGTATGAGTATTCAGTTACTAATAAACCAATAACTTGAGATATGTTTAAACTAGGTAAGAGATATGTTAAACTAATTTTGACAAGTGTAGGAACTACTTAAACAGACATCCAATTCATTAATGACTGCTATCCTCAAATGACCAATTGCACATCTTCTTTTGCTTAGTATTTTAATTCAAATTCATATTTTACTTAAATGAATTCTTAAATCCTTCTGGAATGGAAATGAATTTATGTCTGCTGTAAATATTATAACAACCAAACTGAGTTTCTTCAGCATGCTCTGAAGTTACTACATGTAATCTAGCATTTTAAAAGACTAAATCTCTGGGGTATTAAAATGTGTCCAAACTCAACTTTTCCTTGGTTTTGATTAACTTCAATGGTACTTTAGAATAGAGATGAATGTTTTGGATCTGTCAATTAGTGTTTTCTTGTACAATTTAAAATAAAATTACTGTCTAAGATAACTATGTAAATATACTGTTAAGCCAATAAACATATTAAAAAAAAACTGACACTACTTATCTATTGGATGTATCCTAAAATGTCTGATGGTGTGATTACTGAACTAGTAAAAGTTTGCATTTTCAAATATATGCCTCTCTTTGGTGATATCGATTTTTAAATACAGATGCTTAACTACCCTTATTCAACTCATCCAGTTGTGATAATATAAACAATGATGATGGAAGAAAAGTAAAGAATGGGACTAAATGTGATTTTTTATCAAATTGGGAATTTCATCTTGAGATCAGTTTTAAATTCCATTTGATGTCATTAAACTTGGGTAACTAGAAGTCAGCAAATGGCATAAACTTAACCTTCTACAATGATAAAACTTGAATATTTTTCTCAAAGCAATATAAGTACCTACCAAAGTCTATTCTATATTGTGATTTTTGTATTTATTAGAATTAATTGATAGCTCTGAATTATTCATTTTAAGTTCTAGGTCAATTAAGTTCAACTCAAGGTCTAGTTAGGTCACTTTACTTCTTACTTATTAAATATCTTAATTCTTCGTATACAGACCTGGTAATCTGACCAATTGTTTAACCACTATGTAATCATGAAACTATACATACCATACCTTTTAATGTATAAATTATATCTTCACAAAATTTGGCAGCCTGTTAGTAAATATTACAAGCCTTATATATATACACACACAGTCAGATTTTTTAACTAAGCAGCTTTACTAAAGATTTGCCTGTTAAGATAAAAATAATTTGTTATCGTTTCTCTTGTATAACCTCTACAACCTTGAAAATGAATATCAAGTTATTTTCCAGTAAAACTTTATACTTTATCTGTTTTTATTTTCTATACTCTAACACTATGAATGGGTCCAGTACAAAAAGAAAAAAAATTTAATTATTTTTGTCTTTCTAAAATGGCAGAATACTGTTACACACAATTACAAATTATCTATTCTTAAAGCCAAAGCTAATACAATTCAAATCTCCCAACAGTTTAAATTTATTGCTTTGTCATCACTTAAGTTAGTATCAAAACAAATTATCCCAGCAGGGAAGACTTATGTAAACATAACATCAAGTTACCAGCATGTTCAGTCAAATTGCAACATGCCGTACACATGAAATATGCTTGTGCTATTGAGTATTTTTTCCATTTAATTTTTTTTTTTCATCTAGCCTAATACATTTTAATTTTTTACATTTTAGTAACTTTTATAAAACAGATAAAAAATATACCTAAAAATCAATAAATTTAGGACTTAAGTATTGGTCTTGTACTTTTTTATCTCAAAGTTTCAATAAAAACTTACCCAATATTTTGTAGGGGTAGTTGTTAGTATAATTAATTTTTATTCATTTTAAATGCAATTTAGAGCACAAAATATTTACTGCAACAAAAAAACAATGTCTTAAAACTATTATAATTTAACTCTTTCAATATGGGGTCGGTCAATGTGGACAATATGGACAGAGTCAATCAACCAACGGCATCTGCAATTGTACATCAGGTCCACAGTAGAAAGAGACTTAACTCCACAGAGCATCAGAAATGGGCAGTAATCTCTGTGTGCTTTACCTATGAAGTCCATGAGTGTACATTCCAGGACAAACATATTTATGAAACAAAAGACCACAAGATATATCTATGATTGGTCCTACAGACCTCTCCATCTCAATGGTGTGCATAATATGATCCTGTGAAATGTTATATTGTTTCAAGGATAATGTGATATTGATGCATATATGAGAACTGGACGAAGTCAAACAATATATATAACAATATATAAGGTCTGCAGTAGGAAGAACCTCAACATTATAGTCATCTAGCATGGTCACAGAACGTACAGTGTGGATTTGATACTAAGTATACCTGGTCAAGCACCACTTTCCACAGAGCGGGATCCAACATACATGTAGCAAGAGACCCCTGTAAAGAAATGGAAAACAAATGGAGTAGTCCATATACCCACCATGATGATGTCCTCTCAGGGAAGATGGAAATCAAGCAGCCATGGACATGGTAAGATGACAGATCTGACATGAAAAAACACAAAAAAGACTACAAACATCTAGAGAAAAGGAAGAATACACCAGGCAAAGAGACTGGCAAATCCAACATGTAAGCGGAATGGAGGGGAAAATATCATGGGAAAGGGAAGGAGTCCAATGAAGAAGCAAACTGACCCAGGAACTACTGAAGAACACAATGCATGTGTGAGAAATCAAAAGGGCAAAAGAATCGGACAAAAACAGAATGTTCATAAAGGTGGGAGAAGAAAGGAATGAAAAGAGGAGTAAAAACATAATTAGTCTCCAAAGCAACCACAATCAAGAGTAGAAAAGATAGGAACTAAGGAACAAACAAAGCAAAACCTGATCACAAAACACATCAGAAAACAGTGACCAGAAGCCAACAATATGAGGAACAGGGACAGCAAACAAAATAAAATAATAAATCTGCCAACAAAGGTTCAAATGAAGGATTATAAAAAGCACAAAGGACAACATGGAGGTTAGGTTCCAAATCCTGGAGAGAAGCCAAGCAGGGAGTACGAGCTATGGAGAATGAATGAAATAACATAGCCAGGAAATGTGAATGCAACACAAAAGCAAAACCAAGAAACCAAAAATGCAAGACAAAAACCACCTAAAAGTTTGCAACATGAGAAACACATAGATCCCTGTTAGAAAGATACGTGAGAAAATAGGGCATGAGAATGGGAGTAATGAAAGGATGATAACCTAGGTGTATAGATTGACACTGTAATGTATATCAACTACTCTGGGAAAACATCGATGAGGAAGGACAACCTGGATGGGAAAACCAAGGATGCAATATACCAGAAAAGACCCGACCTTCATAACCTACTGATGACGATATGCCCACTAATCAATATAATGACAGGGGTCTCAAAATACAGGAGATCCAAAAATTCAAAAACAAAGGATACTTGGCCAGATATCCCCATGCATGGTGATGGTGGACCCTACTGTAGAACTGTCAGAGTGAAACATTACCACCTTATCCCAGAGTCATTAGGAAGGAAAGTACTGTCCAGAGAGTGATATGGTAAGCGGAGTCAAAAAGAGTTCTCCAACCTCCAAATCTTCCAAGCATTGAGAAATTATCCCCAAATGGAAAAAGGGACAATCCAGATAAGGAGAAGGAAGAGGAACCCCAGCAGCAACAGAGGTCCTATCGAACCAACAGTCAATACAGACTGCTAGTGAGGAGAAAGGGTAAGAGGAGCATACAAGGGATCCCAAACAAGACAGCATCTGGTGATCGAAATACCCACAGAGGAGAGTGCGACCAAGAGGAACAAGGGCTGCAAGAGAAGCCCATGAGAGAGAACTACTCATGCAATAAAGAAAGGGAGAAGATGAGAAGCTGCCTAAAGAATATAACATATCTCTAAACCAAAGGGAAGAAGGTTTGTCCCAACCATGAATTGAGATGAAAAACACACCAAGAAAACTATAAGTTGATCAGGCGTGATGAAAGAAATTACCACTGTGATGAGCCAACTCAGGCAATTTCTCGAAGAAGAAACTGAATACAGCCAGCGAGGAAGCTATAAGTATCCAACTATCCGTGGATATGCCCATTAATCAATATAATGACAGGGGGTCTCAAAATACAGGAGATCCAAAAATTCAAAAACAAAGGATACTTGGCCAGATATACCCATGCATGGTGATGGAGGACCCAGGTTACAAGGCTAGTGGCAAGTGAAAAATCTGCACCGATAGATGGCAGTACTAATTGAGAAAGCTTTTGTGAGAGATGGTAAGATATTCTTATAGAACTTAATGTTTTAGATCTAATGCTGGTGTTGGAATACAATTTCTAGCTCTCTTGTATAGAGTTGATGGTTAAGTTATACATTTGTATGAGCAATTTATCTCTTTGCAGAACTACAGTTTCACAACAGCCAATAAATTTGCTCATAAACATCATCATTTTGGTACAGGTACTAATTTCAAGCTGAGCATCAAGTGCCAGATCCCTGGTGGGGAATTATTGCAGAATCCACAATTTGAGAGAACTCTATTATCACATAAATTGTAATTGTAAAAGTTCCCTATATTCTGTCAGATTTTTAATCTAAGAGGTATTATTCTATCAAAATAATATAGAATACTTAATGACCAAATACATACATACACAGCTGTTATTCTATACAGGAAAATATATAAAAGACAGTTGAATGGACATACATTGGTTTTTGTTTCTGTAATAATGGTTGGGTTTGAACTTGAGGAAATTTCTGAAGTTGTGATTTTGGGCATCTATATAGCCAAATTGTCTCAAAAGTCTGGCTAGAATGTTCACTGTGTAAGTTGATTATGAGCATTATAATACACTCTAATTAATATATAATATCTAACTTTAATAAGCAACTGCATTGATTAATGAGGTCTTTTTTTTTCATTCACAGAGATTTACATATTTCATTTTAGTATCTTCCATGAAGGTGGGTTTCTGAGATATTAAATCCCAATTCAGAAGCTGTTTCAAAGCTAAAAACTACATAGTTTATGCATATGGTCTTTTACACACTCTAAGTAACCAATATTTATATAGACATTTGAAGAATATCTACAATTAATGGTGAGATCTGGAATTCCCTAGTGTAATTCAAAAATAAAATATTTAAATTTTACAATAATCCTCTTTAAATTTTATTTGGTCCTTATTTACTATTACTATCTTACTTTGTTTTGGGCTGCAACATGACCCATAGATTGGAAATTAAATTTCTGTTTAGCCAGTATACAGTTATAATGTTAATGCTTTTACTTTTGACACACTCATAAAATGTTACAAGTTTACCATCTCCTTATATGTATTTATAACTTGTAATTCCTCTATTAATGGTATTTTTATAAGTAAAATGCATTAAATGCCATTAATTCTGAACATGATATTGATATATACATTATATTACTCAATGCCTACCTAAACATAGGATGTTATGATTGAGAAATATAATTTAGTCGTATATATGTGTACTAAGATCATGACGTTTTAATGTCGAGATTGACTTGGCCAGTTGCTTTTATACAAATGGGCCATAACCTTCTGTACAAAAAAAAAACCACAACTTAAGCTTCTATTATGTAACATATTGAAAGCAATTTCTATGTCAAGCAAGAATGGCTGTTACAATTACCTAAGAATAAGTTATAAAGTTGTTGAAGCAATTATTTATGACAATTAAGAAATAAGATATTGAATAAATTTAAGCACAATTACAGTGAAAACATTAGGGGTTCTTTTCAGTTTAACAACCACATAAAACACCAATATAAAATCTATTTTGCATAATTGTCAACTTTAAAAATATCCTTTCTATATGTCCTATAATTATCAGTTAGGTAAGTGATCAGATAATCTGAGTTGAATTGAATCAAACTTGTTTGTTTTGAATTTTGCACAAAGCTACATGAGAGCTATCTGCACTAGCCATCCCTAATTTAGCAGTGTAAGACTAGAAGGAAGGCAGCTAGTCATCACCACCCACTGTCAACTCTTGGGCTACTCTTTTACCAACGAATAGTGGGATTTACTATTACATTATAATGTTCCCAAGGCTGAAAGGGCGAGAATGTTTGGTGGGATGGGGATTCGAACCCACAACCCTCAGATTGCGAGTCGAGCGCCCTAACCACCTGGCCATACCAAGCCTATCAAACTTGCTAACCACAATTTTCTGAAAAGTTACTTTAATAATTTTATCTGTCATTTTCATTTCTGAGTGGATGTATCACTCTAAATTAATTTATATACACAATTGGTTATTTTCTTTTCTTCTGGGATCAGGTGTGTGGGAAAGATTGAAAATCTGTAAGACCAGATGTAGCACAGATAAAACTACATTCTATGAGTCCAATAACAGTGATATATTTAATAAATTTAATATTGCAGTATTTTAAGCTTTTTCACAACTCTCAGGTACAGATTTTCCCACTCAGTTCTCCTGTGGTGAAATTCCCAAATTCTCTGTTAAAATATGGCTAATTTTTGCTCTGGATTGGAACCTAAAAATAATAAAACACACTGCCATGGCCAACTAGCTCTTCTTGATATTCACATAAGAAATGTTTTATTTGTTTTTGTAAAGTTTCTTTAAACAACTGTATTTGTATTACTGAATATAATCTCTTCAATTGATAACATCACATGCTCCTGTCTAACGATAGTAGCACTTCTACTTACTTACAAGATCTGAGTTGTCTTCATTAATGTGATGTTAATTTGTAACAATATTATGATCGGTAATCTTTCAGGTTTACATTTTACTACTTAGGTGTCAGTTTATGTTATTTAAAAACTTTTTTCTCACTTCTTTCTTTAGCCTCTATTTCATTCATCTTCTTTGTTGGTTTATTATGAGGCGAGTGTTACACTAATAATATATTTAAGTAGTATATAGGTGTTTGTATACAGAAGAACTTACTGAATCACATACACAAAAGATCAAGACAGTATCCCTGCCATTGAAACTGTCATATAAATGTTCTCACGTTTATGTTCTGATAAAGGATTAATAGTAATGAAAAAATTACATTCACACATCTACCTCTCAGTAAGATTAACAAACCTGTACATTTATATAAACTTTAGCAATTACAGTTGACAGGATAGTATTACAAAACCAAAAATTCAGATTTTTTGAAGATAAATTAATATTTAATGAAATAATAAATGTCTTTTGATATGAGCTAGAGGACTATTTAAAAAGAAATTACAAATAATATAGCATAGAGATATGTATTAGAAATATTTAAAATTACAGCATTAACTAGTTGTATAATCACCAAGACTTTACTATCTAACATTATATTATACTTAAAATTGACTTCTTTTGCAACACACAATTGTAATTATAGTGTTTATCCAATTTAACATAATATTTTATGAACTTCACCTTCTGTTATATATTACACAAAATATTGGAGCCAAATTAACTTTAAACTGAATAAAATATTCAAAATGTTAACCAAGCAATTCACTAACCTCTTGAAATATCGTTATGTAATGGAGATGGGTTTTTAACTCAATTAATCAAATGAGCATTAATTGGTGTCACATTAAAATAACTGATTAATCAAAATTAGTGTTTATGATTATTATTGTTTTTTATTATTTCAACTATCCAACTAATAAATGTATTACCATTATGATTTCTCATTACTATTTTTTGATTAATTCAAGGTTGTTGAGCTTAATCAACGAGTGTTTACAATTATTACTATTTTTAAATATTGAAACTATCTGAATCTCACATAAGAATAGTTGATTAGTTGAACGTAATCAATTAGTTAGCAATTAATCATTTAGCAAATTCCACTGATCTTCCAGTTCTAATATTGAATGTTACAATGCTTTTAACTTCAATAATTTTTTTTCAGAATGACTATTATCAGGACACTTAAACCTATAATTTCATTAGATTTGCTGTTTTACTGCTAAGCTTGCATTTGCTTCCCAAAAGCTTCCAAATTACTTCTGTGCTTGATAAAATATTGTTTCATACTGATCTAGTTTTTACATTAGTTTATGGACACCAAATGATGGATTCTTGCCATCTTATTCAAATTACAGCTTGTGAACTCACCAGACGTTCTAAAGATAACAAAATTGCTTGATAGATTGTAAAAAGGCTATAACGGCAGTGATCCCAATTTGCAGTGAAGATCAGAAGTATGCGGCGACCCTGATGATCAGGATTGGGTAGAACACCAGGGAATCCATCAAGAAGAGCTTGCTTGATTCCTGAGTCAGATGCATTAAAACTAATAAAAACTGAATGTTAATGAAATTAATAATAATATTAAATAGGAAAATCATTATATTATTCAATTTTCTTTAATCAGTTGAGTATGAGAAAAGAGGTTCGGGTTCATCATTAGCAAACTGTCAGATTTTGTGAAATATCATATAGTTTTCATACAAGCAAATGAAATACAATAAACACCACAGACAAAACATCTGAAAAGGTAGTCCCCCCAGTGGCACAGCAGTTTGTCTGTGGACTTACAATGCTAGAAGCCAGGTTTTAATACCCATGGTGGGCAGAGCACAGACATCCCATCGTGTAGTTTTGTGCTTAACAACAAACAAACTGAAAAAATAATTTATGTTAATAAAAAAATACTTTTGATTAAATAGTCCATCCCATAAAACTTTTTGTTACAAGTGAAACCGTTTTTTAGCATCTATATAAATGAATAATCAAGGATGTGTGATCACAGCCACCCACATGTTTTGAGGTCAATAAACAGTTCTGAATAATAAATCCACAAAGAGTCTATTAAACAAATATTTGGAGAAAAAATCACATGCTGCCTTACATGCATGGTAACCTAACATTTTGTTTATATTTTTTTAGCTTGGATTCAAACCTTAGGCTTTTTGCATACCAGATAAGTGGTCAATCAAGTGAGCTAAAGGTTATAGCAAGCAATTTGTAACCACTCAAGTTACTACAAATGTATTTGCTGTCATTATAGAATTTCCCACCAACAAAAGCATTCAATCCAGAAGTAAGGTCAAAATTTAGCCTCTTATGAATAACTGATATGTATAAATATAACATGCACTAAAAACTGTTTTTAACCCCCAAAATTAGTGTTTGCTGTAAATTTTATAGAAATTATGTACAAGTTACAATAATACCTGCAATGATTTAGTAAAATCACATTGCTCAGTAACAGAGAGAGAGAGAAACACACAAGGAATTTTCATTTTCTTGGTGAAAACAAAAAAAGCTATATTGGCTTTAAGTTAGGTATACTTTTAATAAGAAAATTTTCAGCAGCGAGAAAATGGCTGTTCTGATGAAAAGTTTAATGTTAAACTTGGAAATTAAAGATAATGATCATTTAAGACACTGAAAATTGATCAATATGAGCGAATCCCATTTTAATTAAAAATAAAATGTGTTTTCCTCCTCATCTTTGTTTAGTTCTTGAGTAATCATAACACTTACCTTCACAAACATACTTTTTATATATAGATTTTGAGCATGCAGAGATGCCGAAAAAGAACTGTGCAAAAGTTTATGTTCTCATGCTTCAAACAAGCCAAACACATGAAAATGCAAAGGAAGTTACACACTGAAGAACATAAATCATTCTCTCAAACTTCAACCACACAAAAATGACAGGAAATGTCACATCACAATTCAAATTGGAAATTCTGTATCTCTTTTAAGTACCTTACACAGGAAAAGATGATAACAGAGGTCATACTGTTTGCAATAAAATAAAATTTGAAATTGTTGATAAGCAATTTTTAGTTGTTAAACATGCATGGATGGTGCTGACATAGTATAGACTATAACATGTGGGAAAAACTTTGGAAATGCATGACTTAGATGTCAAGCATGTACATGCAAACATAGGACATAATGCATACAACTGCATCAAAGTGGAGGTTATGTGTGTGTAATTTATAACTTTAATTATAAAGGAAAATTAACAACAAGTACAGTGTCCACAGAGGAAAAGTATATACAATCATGTGTATGCATTTCTTTGATTACAACATTGTAACTGTAGGTTATGTATTAAAAACTTAACAATAACCAACATACAATGTGTCCCAGTAAAAAATGTTACCAGTATATAATAAAGTGACCCCACAATTTCTCAACTTTAATCTACCTGTCCCCATAAAAGAAATCAACTGTAGCAATCATCCTGTGTTCCAATGTATATCTATCTGCTATTTTTTTAGAGTATGTGAAATGTAAATGATCCCACTAATGCTATATACACTTATAATATATTGCTGGAACACATTGTGTAGTACATTCACCAACACAGGTGTCAGAATTCTAAGATTAAACCAAAATACACCATTCTAAAACAAAACATTAGGAGTTGTGAGAACACACCTTAAACCACTAATAATAACAGTATCACAAGTACCTGTTGAACAATGATGGATGCTTTTGTCGATATACAAAGTATTGTGTGTACAAAGAAAATGCCTTCTGAACGTTAAATTTTCTTGCTCGTAAAAAACGCAGTATAAATGCTGCATCAGTTCTTAAAAACCCTAAAACAAAAAATTGAGTGATGTTACTACAATCTCACAACAGAAAAAATATCAAATTACAAGTACAATTCTACTTGTAACAATTAAAAATAGCTATTAAGTCACTTTACAATTGTTTTCTTTTTGTTTTTTCATTACATCTGTACTATTCCAAACAATAATTTGTTTCCCACTTTCCTTTGAAACAACTGTTAAATTTTATGTTAATATAAGTTTACTAAATGAAGTAAATTATTGATACTAGCAATTTTTATAAACTTAATGATCAAATTAAACCATCTTTTTCCTTAGGAATTCTTGTAGTATAGTCTATAATTCAATATACTTTTAGTAAAACTGAAACTTACTCAAACTGATTTATATCCATACTACCAAAAAAAAACATTTCATAGAAATAAATTTCTGAACAATTATAACAATACAATAAATATTTCATTTATCTGCTTTATAAAAACATACATATATAACCTGGTATGAACACAAGTTCAGAAAACCAGGAATTTTAAATTGGTTGTTTACTCAGTAAAAAAAAAGTGCAATATGAATTTCAATATGAAAAAAGCAAGTGTAGTTCCACTTTATACATTATACCTTTTATCCTTTTTGAAATATCTTGGAACTAATGTCAACACAAATAGTCGGATGGCTGGGGAAACTTAAACAGTGAAGTTTTGAGTTAATGTAAGAAAAAATGTATAGTTGGCAGGATGAAATTATCAAATAAATTCCACTGGAAGTTAAAGTTGAGCAATTAGTTGAATTTGATAAGTTATTAATTGTCATGCTCATTAATAGATAGTAATGTAACTTGGACAGAGGAATAATTGGAACCACTAACTTCAATCAGTTTGTTATCCATAAATCATGTACAGGTTCAGCCAGAAGGATGGGAATATCTGAGTTTTTAAAAAACATTCAACTTAAAAAAAGGGAAAATCAAAATATGACTGAAATCAGATTGAACCAGAATCATAACAGATGACCTTACTGGTGAAAAAAAAAAAGAGTATAGATCTCTAAGTCTGAAAATTAAGTTTAAAGAAGATATGAAGGCAGAAAAAAGAAATCTGGAAATAAGTTGGTAGACAAATGCCACAAGAAAAGGACCAAAGGTACCCAATAATATAAAACAAATGTTTCTTACTTGGTCACAAAAAAAAAAAAGTGTAACCTCTCCCCTGTAAGAGTTGAACAAAGGCACAGTTTCTAAAAATACAAATGAAAGGAAATAGATTGCAAATGCCCATAGATTTAACTGCTGACAATAGGTATGAGTGTTGAACGCAGAATAAGATGGTTCAATCAAACAGGTTAAACTGAAAGCTGAAACCTAAAGAATTCCTGGAGATGTAAGCACCAAAAGAAGAACCTGTAAACGATCAAACAACCAATTCAGGCTAACAATAAAGCCTGATGATGGAAGGCTGTAGTCTTGTTTTTTATCTAAAAGAAAAATAGCATTGGTACAAGCTTACAGTACATTAAAGAAGATGAGAATTTAATCTGAGACAGAAGGGAGAGCCAATGTAAGGAGATCACAGAAACAAATAACAGAAATAGAGAAAACAAAAGTGTAAATAGATGAGTAACCACAGAAAAGAAACTACTAAAACAAAGAAAACAACAGAGAGCAAATTAAGCATGTCTTAATTGTATGTCTATCGATGTTAAGAGTAATCACTAAAGCTAAAGACTCTTGTGCACTGGAAGTACAGGTGAAGGTAGCTGATTGGCAAAAAAAAAAAGAGCTCCTTGAAGTACAAGATTGTTTGTGGAATAACAAAATCACAAGTTGGAGGAAATTTGGTCAGTGATTATTCAATAAATTTGCTATACGTCCACGCACAGGAAACTTACTGAATTTGAAAGTTATAATTTTCCTATACTGAAAACGTATTTCCGATAGGTACTTACCTACACTAACAAGATTAGCTATTCTCGTTCAGTGCTGCCCTGTATATGCAAGCTTTTTCTTTACATATGCCACAAGCCTTCCACTGCCCCCATTGGAATTGCAAGATTCCAACATGTCTCTCGTGCACATAATCATGCATCACCTCCTTCCCCAATGCATATGACTTTCTCTACAATCCTCTACTGAACTATCACTTTGAAGTTTGGAAGAAGATGTCAGCACTGGAGAAATGTGGGGAGGAAGAGGGAAGCACCTATGGGAAATACATTTTCAGCATAGGAGTGACGGAACGACAGAAATACCCTCCGAAATTGTCTGAAGGATACCCCTGGAAATGAGAGATTCAGCTCCAAAGATCAGAAGAGAGGGACTGCACTACTTCTGAGCAAGGTATACACTTTTCTCAGCTGTGGAATGTGTAAGATATGAGCAGAAAATGAGAGGAGCACATCTGAGTGGGAGAGAATGTGGCAAGAAAGTGATTCTAACCATAGAAATATACTGTAACTCAATCCTACAATGAGAAAGGTGGGTAAACAAAGGATGTGTCCCTAGGTGTAGAGTGGCTAGGGTGCAGCGGACCATACTTGGTAAGTTAACTATATTCAAAACCTGCTCACAGGTTACCGACATCCGTGCAAGGGTAGGATGAGGATCATACCTTCTTCACCTCAAACCCAAGAACTGGGGAATTGAGAACCACTCCAATTTCTGGGTATGACATGAGGATTAGCTCTGAGCAATCGATCCAGGAACTTCCGGTATCGAAAGAAAGTCTATTGCATGCAATCAACTCTCCCAACCATGAAAAAGGCCAGGATCACCCAAATGGCAATAACATCCCCATAAGAAGAGAGGATTAGGGATAGCCAAAGGACAGAACTGGAACAATCCACGTACCACTACTGTGACCCACAACAAAGATGGAAGAAGATAAACAACACAAAACCTGTGTGAGGACTTATGTTGAACGGTTGAGTCTAAATCCAAAACCTGCCCTTAGGGTACCGTCATCCACACAAGATGGTGGAGAGTCCAGAGGAACAAAATCACCTAAGACGGTGCAATGGATGACCACGAAACCTTATTTTGAAAAGCAGACCATACTAAGTTATTCACTCTAGGCATGGCAAGGATGGGCAGCAATCCCCTTCTGCTTTACCTATGTAGTCCAAGGGTGGTACAATCTGAGAGAGGCATGTTTATGAAGCAATATATCATGAGGTCATGCACCTACAAGCAGTTTTGTGAAGTGCCCCATCTTAACGGTGAGTGTGCAAAACCATGGAAGACAAAGTGTGAGTCAACATGGCTGGACAGTGCAGATTTTGAGTTAAAGAATACCTGGTCAGGCACCACTCACCACAGAGTGGGATCTATGGGATAAAGAAATAGAGAAAGAATCCTGAAAAAAAAGTATGAATACAAACCTACCAGTTAGAGTTACATCAAACTCTGAAGAATGGCCACAGATGGTAGACGAAACCCAGATGAAGAGGAAACCACAATATGATATGGAGATATTGGGAGATGAACATACTGGATGTGGTCCACATTTCGAACTATAGAATCTCCTCCATTGGACAATGAAGACGAGAAATAAAGGAAATAGTGAGGTGTCGAATCTGATGGGAAGACACCTGGAACAAATTCCAGGAGGAAGAAAAAGGTATGGAGGAATAGGCCAATCAAACCAAAAGACAGACCCAATTGGCAAGGGTAGAAAGTGAAAGATCATGAATGGAAGAGGATTGCCAGGGGATAAAGAGATGGGAATGTGTATCCAGGAAGAAATCAGTATGGGCAATTTAACAACGAAGAGCCCTCACTGGGCACAGAAGCCTATCTAGATTCGCTGAGGGTAAAGATGAGAAATGGAAGAGAAATAGGAGAAAAGGAGGAACCATCCTCCCAAGCTGCTGAGGTCTGCAGGAGAAAGGAACAATCTGGATAAAAAAGAAGATAAGTAGGGTGATAAAGGGTACATGAAATGTCAATGGCACACAAATCAGTCCATCAACATCCACAGACTAAGAGAAGAAGGAAATGTGTTAAGGGAGAGATGAAACATGGAACATGGGGAAAGTGATTCACACGGAGGTAAAGTAAGAGAACGGAGGACCACATTAACATTCCTATCTGGAAGGGTAGGTCACCTGGAATGGTGACATATCCGGAAAGAATGCATAAACATGGTAATGACAGTGGAAGTAAAAACTGTACAGTATTGGGGAAAATGAAAGGTATGGGATAAGGCTGCCCAATATCCCAAAAGAAAGGAGACCAAAGACCCACAGTAAAAGAGCCAGGTGAGAAATTCCATCACATGAGCCACAGTATGCTGGTCAATGGGAAACCTCCTAGCTGTAGACCAACGACAGAATACCTTCCACTTGTGTTGGTACACCTTCATGGAAGATGGACAGATGGAAACAGCTAACAAGGAAGCAACTAGATGTGTGAAACTGGATCTTCTCACCAAGGGCCAGACAAAAGCCAGGTGTGAAGATATGGGATGTGAAGGGTGGAATGTACGACATGTGACTGAGGTTGACAAAGAAGATAGGGAGAAAGTGGAAAAGGGACAGGAGGGTAGAGGAGCATTTGCTGCAACCATGGAAATCAAGGCTGAGCTGGTCAATAAGGAGCAATCAGGAGGACCTGACAAAGAGTGGAGTGAATGAGAAAAATCACTCGATGAAGTAATTGGATAAGTGGGTACAAATAAAGATACTTGTGTGACGATTCCTGGCTGAAGGCATTGACTGCCAGAACCTGTGGATGAGGTACAAGTCACCAAAAGAGAGGTAACTTGATGTTGAGGCCCATAGCAAAGGCATCCAAATGGGAGAACCCCACCGATGGCAATGATCCCTAAAAATGAGGGTATCTAATGACCACTCTGTGGGATATATCCAGTCGAGGTGCAAAAGACAATCCACGACCAGATTGAAAGCACTCAGTACAGACATGCAATAAGATCAATTTGATGTGCGTGGTCCCAGTATAAGAGATCCAATGTCTGAAAATGGAGATCTATGGACCTGGTGCCCCCTTGGTGATTGATATGTGCCACCACCATAGAATTGTCCGAATGAACCATCATCTAGTGTTTCTGGGACCATATCAAAAATGTAATGCCTCAGAAATGGGGCTGCATATAAATTCCTAAGATATGTTGAGGGTAAATGAGCCTGAGCTAATACAACATCACAGCCTATAAGGTCCCAACAACAAAGAAACCATGTTTGTAATGCTAAAGCTGAGGACAACATGTGAGCTAAAGTGGAGGAGAGAAGGGCAAGAGTATCTCCAGAAAACTCCTCAGGATTTCTGTGGAGAGCCTCAGATAGGAGGTGTATGGAAGAAAGACACTGTAATAGATTTGTAAGGGTAAGACGAAAGCATGAATTGGGCATGTGAAATGATCTGAAGTCTGCGGGAGGTGTGGCACACTAATCCCATTGCATAATTGAGAGGCAAAATGATCAGAATGAACTCAAATATCAGCTGAGAGAGAAAAAAACAAAAATGGTTGGGAAGATTGTTCATGCAGTAAAAAAAGGACGAGGTACATAAGATATAGGGGAAGGGGTAAAACATTACAAACCTGAGAAACAAAGATCATAAAGACTGCATTAGGCCTAGTAGACTTATTAGGTTGGGAATGGGAAGGAACGGCAAAATCTGGAGGTGAAAAAAGACAATCAAAATCCTCATCAGCGTGCACAGAATCAGCCTGTTCTTGGGGAGCCTAGGAGTTGCCTGAGGACAAAGGTACATAAGAAATAGGGGAAGGGGTAAAACATTACAAACCTGAGACACAAAATTCATAAAGACTGCATTAGGCCTAGTAGACTTATTAGGTTGGGAATGGGAAGGAATGGCAAAATCTGGAGGTGAAAAAAGACAATCAAAATCCTCATCAGCGTGCACAGAATCAGCCTGTTCTTGGGGAGCCTAGGAGTTGCCCGGGGACAAAGATTGTACCATGTAACATTCGATCTCTTGGCATATAAACGCAGATAAAAATGTAGGTCACTGGTGTCACCTTCGAAGTGGTAATGTTAACTTCTGAATTCATTGCACAGAAAAGTTCACCAAATTCAAGAGCAGAAAATAAGATGACTAAAATCTACAGATAAATACTAATAGAAGAGACAGGCAGAATAAAAGCAAATTAATTTTAAAAACAACCACTTTGCGAAGAAACAAAGTTGAACATGAAGCATTAAACAAACAAAAGAGCACATCCAAACAATGGTGCTGCCAAATGAATAGTGATTGTTCAGTAGAGAAGTGTACAGGGTATCGCATAGATCACATGAGCATGTCATGCTCCTATTGGATTTGCATGAGAGACATATTGAAATCTTGCAATAAGTGGGAGCAAAAGACTTGTGGCATGCATAAAGAAAAAGTTTCCAGATAGAGAGCAGCACTGAGCAAGAATAGCTAATCTTGTGAGTTGAGGTAAGTACCATATTGGAATATAATTCAAAACATGCTTTTATAATGTACTTAAAAGTACTGAAGTTATTTCAATGGCAGGACACAGACACTTTCTTTTAATTAATCTTACATGAGATAAAAGGGAAATGTTCAATTCTTTTTTTAGATTTTTTCTATTTAAGTACACAAAACACTAATTCAAAACAATTAAAAACTGCTCTAAATATCAACCAGTCTGTCTATAGTTTTATGCTATGAATGTGTGATTATTGTTTAACAATTATGAATGTTATGCCAATGTATACCAACTTATGAATACACCTACAAGATATTCCATTTCCATAAACTTAAGCACCAGATTATCAAAACATTGGATACATTATTCACGTCTATCCAAATTTAATTTTTTAACATCTTGGAATAGGTTCTCACATGCCAAAACATACTTCACAGAAACAGAAAACCTAAACACTAATTATACGTATATAGCATTAAGACTTAACTCACCAATACCTGGTTGTATTGAATTAAGTTCTCATAGACTCTGGATTACTTCAGAAAGTAAAATAAATTCATACTACAGATTCAACATATGACAAAATATTAAAATGAAACCTACCAACATCTGGACGTGTTGGTATAAGCTCTCTCATAAGCTGGATAGCCTTTTGCCTTTCTTCAGGGTGTTCATTTAATTCATCTTTGGCCTTGACCTGCGTGCTATCAGACAGAGCCCAACCAAACTCTGCCATTCTGCATGGTCTGCCAAAGTTCTGAAACATAAACTCCTACACTGTAGGTAAGAAATTAAAATAAAATGAATATGCACTCATACATACATATTTTATGAGAATACTTTCTTAAAAACACATGACACAAAAATAATCAAATATGGTCACTGATGTCATCCTAACTCCCTCCAAAATACAAATACATCTGAACATATATTAAAAGTATAAATAAAACAAAAAAGAGCCATCTCATCTAAAATATGTATAAAATTTCACAAAATGATCATGCAAGGAGAGAAGTAATTAGTATCTGTGTTCAGAAAACTCGTAACTGTGACCCTTACATTCAAGAACTCCATAAAGGCTGCAAGTGAGCAATTTTATAAAATTTCTAACAGTATAAAAATATAAACCTTTGAATCAAAACCTCCTAATTCTTCTACAAAAAATTAAGGTGCTTGAATCAAGAAACATAAGTAGTATATTTTAAAGTTCTCATGATCATTTTAGAAGTATGTTTTATACAGTGCAAGAATGCCACAAATTTCAGCACAAAGTTAGCTCTTTTATGTATCACAAACAAATACTCAGGAGGCATGGTCTTACATGCACAAATAAAAATTAAAGAAAACATTAAAATTGTAGCCATTTATATTGTTGTTATATCTAAAAGATGTCTATTTATTCAATTCTAAATAATAATTCACATGCAAGCTCAGACACTGCTGGAACTGGGCAATTAGTGATATTTACTAATTGATTAATCAAGTATTACAATGTTCCTCAAGCTATGATAAATAAAAGCAAAGCAAAAAAAAAAGTTGGTAGTGGCTGCTGTCAGACTGTAGAATTCCCTTTAGTGAGCAGTTAGACAAGAAAAAGAAAGAATAAACAACAAAAAAGTTAAGGAATGTATGCTTCCAAACAGTTGCCTTCCCTCTAGTTAGCACGTCAAAATGGCAAACAGCCTTAGCAGTTTTGCCATAACAAAGAAATGGTGAACAAATTTGGATGCAACAGGAATCAAACCCGAGATCCTTGAATCATAAGCCTCCCACATGAATCACCAAAGCTGAAGAAAATGAAATAAAAAAACAACACCTAAAAGGTTAAAATTGGGTAAAGCACAAGTAGCCCATCATGTAACTTTGTGCTTAACAACAAATAAACACGATAGTCATATTTTGATTACTTGGATAGTTGAACAATAAAATATATTAATAACTAATTTTGATTAACTGATTATTTTTTATGATGATTGATTTAACTGTAATTTTGATTAATCAATTATTTCATGCAACAACAATCAATGTAACTGCTCCTCATAAGTAATTGATTATATTGACTAGTTGATTAAATCACCTTGGTCACACAAAAAATATACTGATCTCAAGCTTGGCTTTTCCATCTGCTCTTGACTACATATCTATTATAGACACATTTATTAGCTTTGAATTCAACTTACTACTTAAGATGTTATGAAGCACCTTATTAAATTTAAAGGCTTTCTGAAAGTGAACATACACGTCAATAACATAACATACTACAAAAGTTAGGCCAAACCACACCCATGCAGTCACTAACATCCAAGAAATTAATATAATCAATAAATTTAAGTAATTTATTGACCATTCCTTCATCTATGTCATTGATTTGATGTAAATCAGAAAGAGCAAAAGTCCTAATCTTGAGCTCTAAAGTACCCCACTTAGATTGAACTCCATTTATAACCCTCTACTTTCTTCCATCCAGCCACTTTTCTATCCAATTATCCAACTTATTCCCCATATCTACAGATGTTCTCATCCATTAAAGTGTGAATCATTTTAAAAATTAATTGGTAAAGCAAAAAAAATCCTTTTCTAAAACCATCTTGAGAATGATTAATCAACTGCCAACTTCCAAAATGTCTTTCTAAATCACTCACTATATGACAACAGGTTACATGGTATTGTTAACAACTGCCACCAATTCTTTCTTTTTAAGAATCACAAACATATTAAGCTACCTTCCAATCACCAGAAATTTCCTGATGTCAAATATTATAAAAACAAGAATAATATATAAATAATTCCCCCACTAAGCCTCTGCTAAGTTTCTTTAAATTTTAGGATAATTTTTTTCTTTAAGAACTTTATTCTCTGAAAATTTTGTCAAGCCTTTCTAAAACAGTTCTTTAACATACATAAATTTCAAAGGAAATTTCTTCACACCATTAAAGAAATTGGTCAGCTCAAATATCTGGTTTACCTTCTCTACCAAAAGTCACTAGTATAAAACTAAAAGCACTTTTAGCAGTTTGGCTATGTACTATTCCTCCATGATAAGGCTCCATTTAAAATTAAATAAAGTTAGAATGTTACTCTTGACTTTTTTTTGTAGTTCATGAAAGTATAAAAACCTTAAAGTTGAATTTGATATTTTGAGTCTAATGAGTCTCTACTCATGAATTTAAGTAGATGCTTTCATTTGGAGTAAAAAATTTTGATTAGAAAATATTGTTCTTTAGTTAGACTAAACTAATAAAAACAATATATGTTTCATATTTTTCCCACTTATCTTATTATTACTAAGTTACTGGCTTGATAATTTTCTATTTAAAATATCTGACACTTTTCTAAATTGCTTTTCCAAACATCAAGAAGTTAACAATATTGAGCTCTTTAAAACATCATGACCTAGAAGTACTGTTATTCTGTTGTATTTTGTTGTGTTTTACAGTGATTTTCCTCACTAAGCTACAATTCTCCTAGACCCTTTTTATTGACCCAGAAGCATCATAAACAGCAAAAGCTTCACTGCATGATCTGATTTGAATAATCAATATACATAGCATTAACTTTGTCAAAGTTCTGTTTGATAGCATTTCAGTACCATGCATGTTGTTTAGTTGATTGCCATCATAAAGAGCACTTTAAGTTTAATTTCTTTCACCTTCCTCCCATATTAAGTATAAAGGTTTAAGAAAATTATTTGTGTGTTGTGTGTTTCAGATAAGATTGATGTATGGAGTAGGAAAATGTCAGATGCTTTCAAATAGTCACTTTTTGAAGTTTTTTTTAACACTGGTATTGAATAATAATGGTTACCACAAAACAATTTACAATCATAATACATTATGAATTTACAAAAAAGTTTACTCTTGCTTTGTCTACTTGTAAAAACAAAAACGATGTATTTTAGATAACTGTTTGAAAATTGATTTCACATGGAAAGCAATTTGGTCACTGTCAAATTATATTATTTCAATTATGCATTTCCTTCAAACTACTTTAGGATAAAAGTTTCTTTATGTTTAGTAATGCGAAATGCTTACAACCTATGAACTTCAATTAGCCCCTCATGTTCCAAGACTTAAAACTGTCAGTATCGATGACTCTGGTAATATGAAGTAAATTTTCAATTTCACGCACTCAGGGTAAGTTGGTAAGACTAACCGGTAACCCCGACTCATAATGCTAAACTATTAGTATTACTAGTAATACCATTACCGTTTCTGGTATTTTTATTATCTTACCGTTTTACCTTTTTTTTTTTTTTTACAATTCCTCGATTGTGCAATATTAAACAGAATTCTCTACAGTTACAAGGTGAAAACCACAACTTTCTACAAATTTGTTTTAAAAACTAAAATTCATTTACGATCCATCAAAACAATAGCGTCTCGTCTAATACAACAGAGACCTCTCTCTCGTTTCTCTTTACACATATTTTTAATTTTACACATAATATTATGCATAGAAAAGTATTTTTACCTCAAAAAAAGTTTATTTTGAAGTTAAGCACAAAGCTACACAATGGGCTATCTGTGCTCTGCCCACCACGGGTATCGAAACCCGGATTATAGCGTTGTAAGTCTGCAGACATACCGCTGTGCCACTGGGGCCTAATAAAAAGGCAATAATAATGATTTAAAATGATTTTCTTGAAAAGTATATATAGTAAAAGAAAAACGAATAATAGAACATCTAATACTCAGCTCAAACTCATAGGTAATTTTCAAATTTTTCGATGACAATAATTAACAGAAAATAATTTTTATATTAGGTCGTCAAGAAATTAATGCCACTTTTTTATATGAAAAACCCCAAATAACTTATGTATCAAAACAAAACTTTTATTAAACGAAATAGTTTCCATTTTTATCAATGATACTTTTCCATCTTACAATCAGGTTGTTAATGCCCTGATTAAAGAAATCACTTGGCTTTGAAGCAAAAAACATGTCCATGTCCTATTTAACAACTTCCACACTTGCATACGTTTTCCCATCAAGATGGTGTTGCAGCGAACGATAAAGATGGTAATCTGATGGTGCCATATCTGGATAACTTCTCAACCAAACTCCATAATCTCGTGTTGCGTCAAACATGCCACATGTGGAAGTGTATTGTCGTGGAGAAGAACAACACCTTTCCGATTCACGAGTGAAGGGCGTTTCTGATGAAGGGCTTGATTTAATCGTTCCAGTTGCTGACTATAGACCTCGGTATTGACACTTTGCTGTAGACTGAGGAGTTTGAAATGAATTACTCCTCTGATGTCCCACTAAATACAAAGCACCACTTTCTGCGAATGGAGTCCAGGTTTTGGGGGTCAGAACTGAATTTTGTCTAAGACGGAGCCATTGTTTTTGGCATTTAATATTCGCATAGAGAATCCATTTTTCATCACCGGTGATAATTCTGTTCAAAAATGGTTCACGTGCATTATTCACCAGAAGAGAAGAAGCAACGTTCACACGTTAGAAACGATGATCATCGGAGAGTTCGAGAGGCACCCAAACACCTTCTTTATGGAGTTTCCCATATTCCTTAGATGTTTATGTATTGTTTCATGAGAGACATGAAATTTCAGGACCATTTCAACAAGCGTCTTTAAAGCATCAGTATCATTTCCAACATGTCGGCCCCTAACATCACGGTTTTTAAGGTTAAAGTCACCTGAACGAAATTTGCTGAACCATCACTGACACTTAGGAACGTTCAAAACATTTCCATGAACTTCTTTGTGGCTACAGAGTCTTTGTTTCCCTTCATGTGTTCAAACAGCATTACATGCCGAATATGTGTCTTGTCTTGTTCCATCACTGTAAGGGATTAGAGTGTACTAAACTTTACACATTATACAAGCTACACTAACGTGACGTTTAGGCAGTTCGTTTAACTATTATATGTGATGTACGTTTTTTGGAGGGTGGTTAATGAAAGTGTTCCAAAACGCGACATTAATTTCTTGACGACGTTGTTTACAACAGCAGCTCATCTGTGTTACTCTCAGGCTCAATGATTATCTTACAGGTAAGAGTAGCACCACAAATAAGTTAAACTACGAAAAGTAAATATATTGTCATAATTAAAAAGTTGTCTTGAGATACTGAACATGATCTTAGACAAAGTAAAATCAATATTTCTTTAATACAACGACAACAAATCAAAACACCACTATACAGGACGTCGGTTAGAGATTCTAGATATTTTGGAGATCACTCTCTTAATTAAGTAATATACACAAAAACAATAACATCATTTCTTCCACAGAGCGTAGGTGGTACCCACGTATCATTGATTATCCAAAGTGAAAGTAGGGAGAGCTTAACTTCTAGTTATTTATAAACGTACATACGACGATGTTACTAGAGAATGAAAATGCAAGAACCAAAAATAAATCTCCACCAACTTCGTCTGCTAAAAACATCTAAAAATACCTAAGTAGGACACTCGCCTTGACTGTGTGTAATAAGCACACGAAATAAGGTCACAACTGCATATGGCGGATTGCTCATATGTGAAAGTCTGTAAGTCCTCTATTACTAGCATTAACACGTATATGAGAAAATATTTGACAAATTTTAACTAAACAGTTTACACTTTTAAGCTGAGAAATGGGAAACTCCGGTGTTTCCAGGTGCCACATTCTACCTTATGTTCTTTTCAGGCCGGTCTCGACCATCCATGATTTTAAATAATAATAATAATTAAAAAATCCAAAATTATAGATCAGCCATGTTCCGATAATATCTTAATTCTTGCGCCTGACAAAACATTTACACAACACACACGCAGACAAAATAGGCAAGCAAAATCTTTATGAAAAGTGAAGTTAAAATTATAAGAATAAAATGTAGACTATAAAATAATGTTATAATATTAAATCGGAGTTATAATACGATATAAAATATTTTTTAATGAAAAATATCCTTCATCATAGCAAAACTATACATATTTCAATGCACAAAAATTCTTTAGCAATGGGCCCGGCATGGCCAGGTGGATAAGGCGCTCGACTCGCAATCTGAGGGTCGCGGGTTTGAAACCCTGTCCAACTAAACATGCTCACCCTTTCAGCCATGTGGGCATTATAATGTGACAGTCCATCCCACTATTCGTTGGTAAAAGAGTAGTTCAAGAGTTGGCGGTGGGTGGTGATGACTAGCTGCCTTCCCACTAAATTAGGAATGGCTAGCGCAGATAGCCCTCGTGTAGCTTTGGGCGAAATTCAAAAACAAACAAACAAACATCTTTAGCAATGATGAATATTATTATTGATAAAATGCAATATAAGCCTTTTAATACAAAATAAAAATTAATAGTAAAGTCTTAAAAAATGAAGTACAATGCATGAATCCACCATGAAATAACCCTTAAATGATAATCAATGGCCATGATACTACATATTATACTGCAAAAAAACAAAAAACCTTCAACAATTATACAAATTAAGTTATAACATTAATTTGTAATACAAATACGTTCAGAAAAACGTTTACAAATGATTATAAACACAAAAATACAAGAAAAATATACCCCCATCCTTAGTGGCCCGGCTTATATGCTAAAAACCGGATTTAAATACTCGTAGAGAGCACAGCACAGACAACCCATTGTATAGCCTTGCGCTTACCTGCAAACAAACAAGAAAAATACAATAAAAGAAATCATATAAAGAGTTATGACATTTCCTATTAATCATTAATAGAAAATAAACGTTTGATAAAAAAAATATGATACAATCGTTGATAAAAAATAAATCAAAATATTCTTAATCATGTAATCAAAATACCTCTTTACAGTGTAAAACACATAAGCTACATACTACCCAACACAAAGACACAATCACTTGCTAGTCCTTTCAAAAGTTGATATTCCAATGGAATCAGTCACGGTTGGCTGCAAGGGCTGCAGTTGGTGGAGTTAGTAGCATATAGGCTGAACAATATGAAGGCTGAGTACTGGGACATTTAGCAAGGATTTCCAGCACAGGAAATTCAGGCGATATGGGGTAAGGCTTTTAGCAACTTCAGATGAAGCATGCACGTTGGAAGATTCTCCCCACAGAATAATTTATATTACCAGCATCAGTAGTCAGACAGAGAGACACTTCGAAAGTTCTTGATACTTCTGTCATTGAACGAAATGCAGTCTTTAGGATCAGAGTTTCTATAGATTAAGAAGTAAAATTAACACGATTGAAAGTTCTGGCAAACCAAGTTAAAATGTGAAATAACCAAAAGAGTCAAAAATTTGATCTGTCATCGCAACATGGACACTGTCAGGACTTCAGCTAGAAGTGCAGGTTTTAATTTTGTGATGGCCATTCAAAACTAATTGTTGCCGTGATAAAAAATGATTTCTCATAGTCATATGAATACTCATGTGTGAAAAATATATCATCCTCATCTATGAATCTTCCAGTCCACCAAGGCTTCATCCGGTATACACATTTACCACAGTCATATAAATACTCATGTGTGCATGTTGACTTTGAAAGATATATCATCCTCATCTATGAATCTTCCAGTCCACCAAGGCTTCATCCGGTATACACATTTACCACAGTCATATAAATACTCATGTGTGCATGTTGACTTTGAAAGATATATCATCCTCATCTATGAATCTTCCACTCCATCAGGCTTCATCCGGTATACACATTTCCCACAGTCATATGAATACTCATGTGTGCATGTTGACTTTGAAAAATATATCATCCTCATCTACGAATCTTCCAGTCCATCAGGCTTCATTCGGTATACACATTTACCACAGTCATATGAATACTCATGTGTGCATGTTGACTTTGAAAAATATATCATCCTCATCTATGAATCTTTCAGTCCACCAGGCTTCATCCGGTATACACATTTCCCACAGTCATATGAATACTCATGTGTGCATGTTGACTTTGAAAAATATATCATCTTCATCTATGAATCTTCCAGTCCATCAGGCTTCATCCGGTATACACATTTGAATATAATTTAGTTGTGCTTCCCATTGCATCTTTACTAAACAATTAAGGCTAATAAGAAATAAATAAAGGAAGTAACATATTAGAATAGCTGAAAATGTCTTTATTATCGGATAAACAGGGTATAACACGTTTGCTTACAACATTTCACCAGGTTAACATGGCATCATCAGGTTCATTAGCTACAATAAACAAACTTGAAATCTAGGTAACACGAAAAAGTAGATGATGGTTACATTAGTATATGATTGGTTGAGCTTATCAGTGGTTAGCCGGTTATTTATGGATGAAAATGACGGGCAAATATATAATTGAATAAACCAGAAGTAAAACATAAATAAAAATAAACTTTTGAAAAAAAACACAAATAACTTGAATTGTATTTTTCAATGAAGAATCAATAGTGTTTGA